ATATATAGATATATATATATATATAGATATATACATATATATATGTATATAGATCTATATATATCGCTATACATCGGCATATATATATATATATATATATCTATAGCCCCGTATATATAGCTCAATCGCAAGCGGGTCCCCAGCAGCAAGCGCGTTCCCAGCCGTCCCAGGCTGCACAACAATGGCCCCGTTCCCAACCCTCACCACTGGCAGCTCAGTCTCCCCAAACAACACCCGCGACACAACAGACGCCCCAATGTCAACCAGCGTGCTCAGTGCCGTGCCCCGCTGCGCCGAGATCCGCACCACATCCCCGGCCTTCCACTTGGCTGGCACAACCTCCGTGATGCCGCCAGATGAAATCACGCGCACAGACCGCGTCACCTGCACTCTCGGCGACCCATACAGCGCCGTCGCCCGCACAGAGAACACAACGTCCGCCCGCGTTCCCACCCGGCTCGCCAGCGCAGGCATGCGCAGCACAATCGCCGTCTCCGTCACGCTCTCCACAACAGCATCCACCCCGTCCACCGTCACAGACGTCGCGTCCACGCCCCCAGCCACAAACGACTGGCCAGTCAGCGTCACACGCACGCCCTCAGACACCGTTATCGGCGTCACCTCCGTGATCTGCACGGGCGCGTACAGCGACAGCGCTGCGCTGCCCTGCACCTGCACGGGCGAGTTGTCGACGTACACCTCCAGGTCCACTGCCCCGCTGCCGTCGGCGTTGTCTGTTGAGCGGGCCGTGGGCGGCACAATGGCGGTGATGTTGGTGGTTGTGATGTCCAGGACAACTGCCTGCGTGCCGGCAATGTACACTGCGCCCTGGAACCCGTACCCGAGCGGGATGTCTTCTGCAAGCAGCACCACCACCTGCGACGGCAGGGCGGTGCTGGGCGTGATGCCGGTTACCTTTGGCGCCTGTAAAACTTCGGGGCCCTCAGAAAACTCAGCAGCATGTGCCATGTTCCAGAACAGATCCAGCTGCTTCGGTTCTGGGTACGGCATGACGCCTGACGGCACTTGCACGACAATCTCTGTGCTGGACAGGGCCAGCGTGACGAGTTGCACGCCATCAAGCAGGATAGTGTAGTGGATCGATGACGGCTCTGAGGGAGCGATAAGGTCCATACCGTAGAGGCTCAGGATGTGCCCTGTCCACGTGACTGGGGCGGAGATGGCGGTGATGACCGGGGTCGCATACGTGAACGAGAACTGCGGCAGCTCCAGCACCTCCTGGTTCAGTGTGACGGAGACGGTGCGTAATGGCGGCGGCGTTCTTCCGTACCCAGCAGGCACAACAACGATGGAACTGGAAGTGATCGGCGTCAAAGCATCGACGGGGATACCAGCAAGGGATGCTGCGGTGATGTTGGGCGCGTAGAAGCTGCCTCGAATCGTGATTGTCATGTCAGGCACACCAACATTTGGCGCTATGGTGTGGAAGAGGACGCCCACGCCGAGCAATGCGGACAGCTCTCGATCATCGTACAGTACAACGCGCACATCAGTGCTGTTCAGGTGCACGGGTGGCATGTTGATGACGACAGCGCCGCTCTCAATACCCACGATGGAGGCTGGCACATTGCCAACGAAGACTTGCGAGACGACGAATTCCGGCTGGGACGCCAGGTTGGAGATGTAGATGTGCGCCTGCTGCCCTGGAACTGGCGCGCTCGGCGTGATCTGCGTGACAACCAGTAGCGGGTAAGGGTCGGATATGACCTGCCCGATGATCGTCGCAACTCGCAGTCTCTCGAGCGTTGAGGATGGATCCGAGGGCAGGCGTGCCAGAATGTACGTTGCGTTGGCAAAGAGCGGAAATATGTGGGAGGGCCCGTAGAAGACGGATGGGGACACTTCAGCCAGCCGTTTCCCGGTGATGGTGATGAGGTCGCCAGGCCGCGCTTGGGGCGGCTCAATAAACGTAATATGGGGTCCCTGGATGACGGTGAACAAATCGAGCGCGGTTGTTGGCTCGCCAATGATTGTTGACACGGTCACATCGTATGCTCCAGGCGGGATGTTGGCTGGCAGCTGGAAATCGAGGTTCGAGCCACTCTGTGATTGAATCTTCGCCTCATACTTCGTTGGGGGCTGGCCAAACGGTGGGCTGGACTTGGTGAAGATGAGGGAGTAAGCCATGGAGTCTCCAGCATGCGGGATGTTTCCGTATACGACGCCGTAGCCGAGCGGGCCAAGCGTGCCCGGTTCGCGGCCAGACAGTGTGGCGGAAGCGGTACCGGTGTTGATCGCGTGCAGAAGAGAAATGGGTGGCGCCAGCGATTGGGAGGAGTTGAGGAAGAGGCTGATGGCGTCGTCACCCATGTATCCTTCCACACGGATGGTGAAGCTGCCGCTTGTCGCACTCAACAGCGTCACGGTTGGGGTGGTGAGGATGCCCTGCGCGCTCAGGGTGTCGTGAAACTGCGTGATGTTGTTGCTGTAGATGGTCACATCCCCGTTCGCAGTCAAGTGATGCGGCACCACACCATGGAAGCTTGCGCCATCGGAAATGGCGCACTTTTGGCGAATGAGGCCGATATCGCTGACGGCGAGTGTTCCCGGCTCCTCTGGTCGGACATGCAGCACGTATGACGTGAAGGCCTGGTATTTGGGGTTGGCGAGAGAAAGCGACAGTGAGGGCAGACCAATGGGAGTGATTGGGGCGCAGGGCACGACATCAAAACATTGATTCACGTGTATACATAAGTGTGTGCGCATGTGTGCGTGCGCATGTGTGCGTGCGCATGTGTGTGTGCGCATGTGTGTGTGCATGTGTGTGTGTGCGCGCATGTGTGTGTGTGCGCGCATGTGTGTGTGCGTGTGTGTGTGCATGTGTCTGTGTGTCTTCTGGTGCAAACAAGCTCCTCCTCCTCCTCCTCCTCCTCCTCCTCCTCCTCCTCCTCCTCCTCCTCCTCCGCTCCCCTTCACTGCTGTCCTCCAGCCATCTGGAGGTCGCTCACACGCACGCGCATATTCAGAACACGCAGAGCATGTGTGCACACCTGCAGTGGAGAAGAGCATGCGGGAAGCTCAAAGGTGGTGTTTGGGGCGATTGCAATGTCGGTAGCGCTGTGCAAGAGCACAAAGGGGCCTTGATTGTTTGCCCTGAGGATAGCGAGTCACACAGTCACGTGCACAGAACACAACAGGTGGAGATGTGAATGTTGCTGCTCACTTATGCAAGCGAGCAACTGTGCATATGGGTGAATTGCCACAACGCTCATCGTGATCACAATTGACACGACGGAACTCACTGTGCACGAAGCTCGATGCTTGCACGAGTGGCGGTGCAGCAGCCTTCTGGGAATGTCAGCCGGTATCGCACAACAACAAAGTCTTGTGATACAGGCTGAATCGTAACCTACGGTGTGATGCAGAGAGAAGTGATGACACGATCGAGTGAGAGGCAACCGGAGGCTGCACTTGGGATGATGGTGGAGTGGGGGAAAGCGAAGGTGAATCGCACAGCGTGCGCGCGCGCGCGCGCGTGTGTGTGTGTGTGTGTGTGTGTGTGTGTGTGTGTGTGTGTGTGTGTGTGTGTGTGTGTGTGTGTGTGTGTGTGTGTGCATGTGCGTGTGCATGTGTGTGTGCGTACGTGTGTGTGCGTGTGCATGTGTGTGTGTGTGTGTGTGTGTGTGTGTGTGTGTGTGTGTGTGTGTGATGTTGCACATACCATGGACACGGAGCTTGAAATGCTCCAAACGCCTGACTGCTCATCAAACGTGCTCGTGTCCCCTCTGCAACCAAGCAGCAGACATAGCAATCCCATACACAACAACCACGTCAACATATGTGAACAAACATACAAACGAGTCTCGCCTCACACGGTGCAAAGCTGCGCGAGCACTCACGCGTTGGGCTGAAGAGAGACGTCAAGATTTGGGACAGGCTCCTCTGAGTCCACAAGGTGGCATGCGTCACAATACGTGTCCACGACCGGTGGGTCGACGTAAGTGGTTGTCGGTGCGGGTGTGGTTGTGGCAAAGCGCTCCGTGCAGTCCGTGCCGGTGTTGGTGATGTTGACAAAGCTCGATGCGGATGCGTTTCGCGTGAACACAAACGCTGTGCCCATGGCGATGCGGAGCGTGGCGCCTTGCTGCCACACAAAGCTCTTCACGGCCGTGTGCTGGTCCAGGAGGATGTCGTAGTCAGGGCCATTATCGAAGAAGGTCGTGCGAGCGTGCTGGTCCGCACAGGGTGCCTTGTCGCCGAGCCATTTTGTGTCATCTGCCCACAAGCCGTCCACACGCTCTGCCCACACAACTGTGGGTTTGGAGAACAAGCAAGAAGCAAGCAAGCAAGCAAACAGGACAAAGGGAAACTTTGGACTGAGTTGGGGGGGGGGAGGAGTCGCTGTGGCGATAAGCGTTAAGAAAGCAACCGAGCGTCTGAGCGGAGAACGTCCCGCGCGCCTTTTTCATCTTCTTCCAACGTTGCTCTCTTGACTTCCCTTCTCTCCCTCTTCCAAGCTTTTGCATTCACGTCAGATGAACCTCAGCCACCATCACCACCAGCAATGCCACCACAAAACACTCAACAGCTAGCTACTCATAGCGGGCGAGCAAGCGTGCGAGAAGGTGAGAGGGAGAGGAAGCGCACCTGGGGCTTCACGCTCGACGACAGTTGTCTTGCGGGCGACGACGCGATCGTCACCAACGCCGTTCTCCACCTGCAGCTCAAACTCGGTGGTGGGGCTGTTTGTGAGCTCCACATGGCCAATCCACTCTGTGCCGTTGACAGGGACGCCTGTCTTGTTGCCATTGATGTGCAGGGTCCCTTGGTTGCTTGGGGTCCAGTTGGTCTGGAAGGACGTGGCTGTGAGGTCGAATGCTTCGAGAGAATCGATGACTGGGCATGGCTGGGAGCGCGCTTGGTTTGAGAAGACAAGGCGGCCTCCTTGTGCCAACCGCAGGGGCACCTCCTGGCCCAGCGTGAGGAACGTCAGCCGCGCCTGAAGGGCACAACATACAAGAACGCGAGGAGAGTGGAAG